AAAAACAAAGGTACGCTGCCATCACAAGGACAAGTCATCATTTTAGACAAAAAATGCTGGATAAAACAGCAGGGGTAGCAACTGCGATAGTTTTATTATGCATGGAACTATCATCGTTTTGATGAGCCGAATTCTTCGAAGAGTTTGCGATAATGCATGGAAAAAATGGAGTTTTTGCAGTAGGAGAGGGAAACTTTCTGAAGTAATTTCAGCCAAAATTTTCCGGGAAGCAAGTTTGATTCGATTTTCCAAACTGAAAAACAAATCAAAACCGCTCATATTTGGCATCGAAAACAAAACTATGAGGCCGATTACACACTCATTAATGAAGGAATTTTTCGACGTTTCAGGGTCTTTCCTCAGCAACAGAATTCAATTATTCATTAATAAACAAGGTTACGTTAGCGGAAAAGTCTGCAAGATGCAAAAACAATCTAAGAAAATCGAAGCTGGCAATCCCACACCACAATGAGATGCCTGAGCCTCTTCTCAATAGTGACTAGGTTAGTTCTTATCTATTTTGCGCCAGGAGCCACTAAAATGTTTTATACTTACGGGGGTTTTTTATCCGAAAACGTTTGCTTCTGCTTCATGGCTGTGCTTGACGTGCCGCCGCTGGTGGGATGATAGATGACACTTGCATTATCGGAATCGCGGCTTTCTGATGTCGTGGATGCATCGCTTTGGTTGCCGCCGTCTGCAATTTGAGGTTTTTTTTTCTTCAAAATCCAAATTTTTTCCAATTTTCAAAAAATAGAATTTTACATTCATAAACTGGACTTCTGTACAAAAGAATAAGAAAATCTTTTGTTTCGACATTTCCATAAAAACCACTTTTTTTGCGCGAAATTAGTGCGCAAACCGGTGCGTTTTGGCGTGTAAATCTAAATTCAAGGAAGGAAAATCTGTAAAAGTTGGTTACCAGTGGCAACACTATTGGGTAGCTGTGGTACTTTGATCACTCGATGGTTCATCATTGGGCTCACAACACCGACAGTTGGACTCTGCGCTGGATGCGAACCACTGGGCTTCGTTGGTGCTGTTATCACAGTTGCGGTACTTTGCACTAATTGGCCGTTTGTGGATGATGTTGCTTCGGATGAAGATCGTGATGACGAGGACGATGATGAGGATAAGGAAAAAGCTGATGGCTCGTATCGCTGTTGCTCCTTGCTCTGTGCGGGAAATTTTGGCGGTGCTTCTTCTTCGGTGACCGGTGAATTGGTAGGATTTGTGGACCGTGGTGAAGCATACTTACTGGCCGGTGGTGTCAATCGAGTTACTGTCGGTGCTGCAATACCTTTCACTGCTAGTACTGGTTTCGATTCCTGAAACTTCCGATTTTTTTAACTTTTTTTTGAGCGAAGTTTTTTTCGCTATAAATTTTTGGTTTAAAAAATTCCTTTTCTTAAAATTTTTATTTGAAAAAATCATAAAAGGATAGAAAAAATGCTAAGCTTAGTGGATGACGAGACTGGAAAATCATTTAATCAGTCGGATCTTCAGTGAAAAGAAGTGGTGGTAAGGTTAGGGACAACCTAGGAAGACAGCAACCGGTGTATTCTTTTTCCTGCCCTTCTCTTCTTCTTTTCTCCTTTTAAGTGTTAAATGACTCAGATCGGTGCCTCATAAGTCAGACAAAAAGGTGTACGGTAAAATTTGTTTCCAAAATTTCGAAAACATGTAAAGCCGAAGAAAAAGTGAACACTTACACATTCAAACACTCCCACACATAAACACCCAAACACTTGTACACACACGTACAGACACACAAACCATACACAGACTCTTGCCAAACAAACACACACGCGCACACGGGTACCACAAACACGCACAAATACACGTTCTTACACATCTACACATACATACATACATACACACACACACACACACACACCGCTGAATGGCCTCAAACGTATGCTTTTTCCTACAAAAAAAAGTAAAAAAAATGAAAAAAAGACGACTAAAATAAAAGAAAAACGATTGCCTGTGTGCTGTGTGGATCTGAGAAGTTGGATGGCCAATTCCGGATATTAAGTGAGGGAATCCACTGAAGCTGACAAATTTTTAATTAAAAAAAGCAGAATTGCTTGGCTGGAACGACCAATGCACTTTGCTGTCCTCCTCCCCCGTTCTTTTATATGTTCTTTCATGCTCTTTTCCCTTACAAGCCAAAAATACCTTGATACGCTAAAAACAAACGAAATAGACGAATAAATTTTGCCCTAGAGGATCATTTGGGACTCGTGACCATTACCGTAACTGAGGAAAGAGGGACACAGCACAAGAACCTCCCTTCCTCGTCCCTTTCCCTCCATTCTTTTACCTCATCCCTCACTTTCCGAAACCCCTGCCTGATTTTTTCCTTCTTAGGATAGTAGAGTGGACAAAGAGAGTCGCATTTCGCTTTCGATATACAGTCCATTTCCATATTCCGGTGAAGCATGAAACATACATGAGGGCTTGAAGGTGGCTGCACGGTTCCCGCATTGAAACGGCGCCCGGCACTGGTACCATGTTGAAAAGCTAGTGTAGAAGGTGCCCGACCTCGTACATGACTTCCCGAAGCACCACACGAAGAACCCGAATGGATACTCATCGAGGATGATTCAGTGGACGACAGAGGCGAAGAACTTCCGAAACCAGCATATGCTGAATCTTCTTCCGAACTTTTTGATAACCTGCAAAGATTCGTTTTCGGTATTTTAAAAACTTTGCAACTCATTTGAGGCTCCAGAGGCGTCATTTTTGAATTGTGATGCGCTTACACAGGATCCCTACATTGTAAAATGTCTTTCAGCACATGGCACTTAAGACCAATCCTTCCATTCTACTGTTTCTTTAGAGTGCCAAGCATAGGCTTTCTTCTTCTGTTCAGAGCCATCTCTAAGTTAGCCCCAATTTATGAGGTTACAGAAACAGGAATTTTTGAAGTGTAGCACGTTGCATTTTTCACTATCCACTTTTAATACGCTAAAATAAACGCCTTTTTCCTCGCATTTTTGCCAGTTATTAGTAAAAAGCCAAGTATCTAAGGAGGAATATACACAACTTAATAGACCGGAAATTAATTTTTTCTACTTAATTTCTCTTTTTCTTTCTTGCTCTCTTACATCATACAATATTTTTTTTGCAAACTTCTGTACTGACGATTCCCACTCCTACCCGCATGCATAGTCCGGTCTGTGTTTACAGCTAGGGGATGAAACAAAGACTGCATCGTAAAGTGTCTTTTTGTACATGACACCTAAGTCGAATTTTTCTATTCTACTATTCATATGTACTAAATTTTTCCCAGTTACTTCCTACACTCATTTAACTCTGGTCCATTCTTCGCTTCGTCTACCTACTATTAAACCAAAAAAAAAACATGCTTTATTTTTCGCTTCATCTTTTCCCCCTTTTGAAACCAGCGCCTTTCGTGAACTTTTATCAACAATCATTGCATCATTTTCTTTCTTTAGAATATTTGAGTTATTCGCAATTTTTAGCCGATTTCATAGATGTGATAATTAAAGATGCGTGTTTTTTTTTCAAATAGGCTTTTGAAGTTCAAAAAGCATGAATTTTGAGGGCAAATAACTCGTTATTTTAGACGAATGAACGAACACTGCACACTCACATAAGTGGAAATATCGCAAATCTTTAAGCCTCTCCAATTCAAGGTTTATCCCTCTTCAGGGTCGAATGGATTAATGCGTTCCAGTCAATCGTATTATCCATTACTATTTTTACTCAAACTCAATTATTCAAAATCTCGGCAATTCCTCGCACAACTCTCCGGATGCAATACCAAATTATCCACACCGATTGCCCGGATAATCTTGAAAACCAGAACAGGGACAGACTTTGACAATTCTCCGGTAGATACACAGTGTACGGGATGCTGCTGCTACCACATGAAAAAGTAAAATTCGATAGGCAAAACAAGCTGTTTCCTTCGCCGATAACCAGTGAACGCCACGCATTAGTGAGTGGTACCAATGCGAGAAAAAAAAATTACCATTCTAATGGTTCCTGAAGAGGTGGCACATATACTTCGACCGATAATGAGGACTAACTGGAGGTATGCAGTCCAGGATCGAAAGATCTGGCATAACTGCGCTCGGTGTGTGAAAACATTCTAGTAACACAACTTGGAATACCCACACTGATAGCCCGGGGCGATCTTGCTATTTTGGTATTATAACTAATCATGCCGTCAAAAATATATTCAAACTGACCGTTTATTTTTGATCGAGTCAGCAGTGGTAGTAGAATTTGGCGGTGGTTTCAGATTTGTACCAACGGACGTAGCAGCAGCAGTAGCAGCAGAAGATGATTGAGCAGTGCGGCTGGACACTCGT